TGTAGATTGAGCCTGAGGTTCTGCTGCCACCACTCAATATACATTGGTTATTGCCTGGCCACCCTAATATACATTTTCTGGCTACGCCTCTGAATAAGCTTACCTTCTCTTGGGTGGTTTGAGCGAGCTGTGCATTGACGGTCTGATCGGGTGTGAGGGAGCTAGGCGCTGGAACCAGCGCGGGAGCCCGGAGAAGCAGCTCCCTGGATGCTTCGGGGAGGATGCGCAGCAGATTGGAACCTCTGGAACCGCTGGATGGAGAGGGGTCCGTCCTGTTCATCCGTCAGAGAAAAACCTCCAAACAAAGCCGGATTATTATCATTCTGTGAAAAAGTTGGCCTCTCTCTTCGATTATCCGAGATGGGATCTGGAAAGACCACAGTTCGGTGAAGATTAGTTTTTTTCCCACCAAACCTCTGTTTTCAATTTCTTTCTTATTAAAAGCCTTACCCAAATCGAGGTCCGACAGTTGAACATCATCGAGATCGGAATCTTGAAATACATTTAAAGAAAAAAAATAATAAACAGAGTTTTTAAAAGAAAGCAGATCTTATAAAGGTTTTGGTTTTTACCTAAAACAATGGTTGGAATTAATGGGTTGATTTTAGCCACTGTGATCTACCCTTTATAAATAAATTAAGTAAAAGGAAAAGTTTGTATTTAAATCTATTAATATAGAAAATGACTACTTACTTCGCAGCATGGTTGTGAGCCCTCCGAATGGAAATACATCCCCCTGTTAATGCATCCTTTAACAGGAATCACCCCCGCCCCTCCATGTTTACACTCTGAGTTTACGTCCCAAGTCTCCCGGAAGTTCCGGAGTCTCCCTGATATAAATAGTTGTTTCATAAATGCAAATTTTTGAGAAAAAAAAACTGACACACCTGCGTGTGTTAAACAAGGTAGTGTCAGTACCTGAGCAAAAACAACTTTATTGGCTTGGAATCAAATTGGAATTTTAGATAATTTATTGTGTTGATTCACTATGGCATCTCGTATTTTTGTCACCTTTGGTACTGTTTTTCTTTAAACAAGAGTATTTTGTAATTTCTTATTATACTTTTATTGTTTTCTGTTAAAGCTACAGTGTGTAACTTTTAGCGACATCTAGCGGTCAGACTGCAGACTGCAGCAACATGAACATCTCCCCCCCACCGCTTCTCCCCCCCAACAGTACAGCGAGCGTTATGGCAAAATGTCTTCCACGACGTCCGCATCACCTACCTTCTCAAGTGATGAGGTTTGTTTACATAGATAATTTTACAGATAGTATTTCATTAGTCTGTGTAGGGTATAGATTTATACCCGTTATTTTTTCTACATCGTTGTGACGTTTTGGCGATCTCGCAATCGCTAGTTTGTTGGCTCTGCGCTGCCGTAGCGCAAAGATGTCTGCCTCCATGGCTGCGAGACCCGCTCCTATGTAATTATAAATAACGAATTCTAAGGCAACGCAAATATTAAGGTTAAGAGGCTGAGCTCGTAGATGATGATAAATAACATAGTTATGTATAATATATTACATTTCTGACTGTATATCCCTGTAATTATTACACACTGTAGCTTTAATGCTCCCCCTGGCAAATGTTTTTGTTGTTTTGTGATATGTTCACAATGCAGTTTTGTATTGTTGTGTATTGTAAATAATAAAGTTTATATATAAAAAAAAAAAATATATATATATATATATATATATATAAATAGTTGTTCACAGATGCCTGCGAGTCGGAAAAAGTATCCCGGATTTTAGACTATGCAAGGTGGTGATTTTTTTAAATGCAAGTGAGAGCGGGCAGGCAATACAACAATTCGTGCATCATGTGCGAATTATAGAACTACTGTGATTGCGCAGACAACAAGAGAGAGTGGGGTGTGAGAAGGAGGTTGCTGGTGAACAGAGGCGTAGACAGAAACTTTAAATAAGGGTGGCCAGGCAATAACCATCATACACTGAGGGGTGGCCAAAAGTGGATTGGCACCAGAACCTCAGGCTCAATCTACACTGTTCCAACAGGAACAAGCAAAACGTCCATATTCCTAAATAAAGACAAACTATAGTTTCTTACAGCCTTTGCTAACAAATAGATGCATATATTTAAACATCTGTCTAGATAAAAGCTATATTGGATAAAATTCTTTGAGGTTTGAGTTCTGGAGGGAACATGTTTTTCATCGTCATTACTTACCTACTTTTATCAATTTCATTCAACATTAAATTGATATTTGCAAGTAGCCTACTAATATCTACATAAATTGATAATTGAATAGGCTTTTGTTAAAATAGTTATTTACAGTATCTATAATTTCACTGAAGACTTTTAGATGACTTGTAGAGACACATCATTTTCTCTTTACGGCATATAACACAAAATCTAGTTCTGAAAGAGCATGAATTCTGTACTAATCATCTCTAATGTTGATGTGCATAATTAACCACAGTGTTTTTGTTGTCAAGTGATTGTTAATAATGTAGTAATAATGTTTTGAATATTCTATTTGAGAGAAAAAAAATGGGGTGGCCAATGATTGACTTAGGGTGGTCATGGCCACCCCTGGCCCCCCATCTAGCTCTGCCCCTGCTTTTGAAACCTGTGCAGCGTATCTGTCCAAAGCGATGCTCTGTTCACATAGCGTTCCAGGGGACTGGTTGTCAGAGAGCTGATTGGATCAGCCCGATAAATTTCTCTGGGTTACTCTCCGGCAGTCACCTAGTTACCACTCAAAGCTGTGCATCCTGTGAAACGGCAGAGGTTGAATCCTCGAGTAAAAAACGAAAATATAGGACTAATTTTACAGTAGAATATACTAAAGTATATCCACGTCTAGTGAAGGTGAGGAACAGTGGTGAATCTAGACCAAATGTACCAGGGGGCATGGGATTCAAATATATTAAGAGAGCTGCATGAAGTGAAATTTCTTTTCAATTATGTTCAATAAAAATTCCATTTCTTATGAGGTCAATATACATTTATAATTTAGGAATTTTACATATTTCTGACTTAATTTAAGTTAAGACTGCCATTTTCTATAAAGTTTGAATTAGAACTCAAGAAAAAGTCTTAAATTAAACTGTAAAAATTAGAGCATTTTTTTATGTGTTGTGAGAAAAAAAAACGTTAAGAGATAAAAACTGGGATCTTATCTCAATACCATTGAAGCTATCGCCTTATTGTTTTTGAATAATTAGTCAAACAGAAGTTGTAAAGAAAAAGAATGAAATAGATCCAAAAGACCTATCAGTAACCATGTCTGTTCCAGCGCAGATCATAATTAGAATTTCTTTTAAGTATAATTTCTTCAGTACAGGGGCCATACAGGGGCCAGGACATGATCTACAGGGGCACTGGCCCCCTGTCTAGAACCAGCCATTATGAGGAATGATGACACCATGGCGAGGTGCACTGTACAGTATGCTGAACTGAGTTTTGTGTGTAATTGTTGTTGTTTAAATAACACAAAAGGAAAGAGGGGTATCTTAAAAAATTAAAATTAAAGTTCCATGTGGATATATTTTGAAACTGTTTTTTTTTTTTTTTTAGAATGTGGGAAAGGAGAAAATGTTTTAACCCTTTATAGAGCAAATACTTTGAAAATCTAAATTTCAAGCCAATAGTGTTCTTGGAATCCAGGAAAAGACCTTATTACCTTTGTAAAATTTAGAAAATATGGATATTTTGATGGCAAAAATGTATGTCGATGTAATAACAAGAAATGCCAACTTCCCCGAATATATTAAGTATAGGTACAGCATAACCTAAGAGACATTAATACTGATACTGGCAATATTTTTTTTAGATTATAAACCTAAATATAATTGTTAAAGGCTTATTAATTTTTAACTTTACTTTCTACTCAACTTTGAGATATTTGTTGTTGTTGTTTTTTTTATTTTATTTTTTACCTTTTTTTAGTTTTTGTTAACTTTATTTTAACTTAATTTACAGTAGGTTATATATCATTGAAGGGATCATCTAATTGGTCAAATTCCAAAATAAGATGTACCATGTAGCAGAATGGCTGGATATAGATCTCTCCATTTGTAAGGGGTATGCAAGTGATCAAAAACAGTAACTTGCCCTATAAAGGGTTGTAGGTTGGCTGATGGATATGTTGGGAAGACTGACAGAAAATGTGTATATATTCACAGAGTCAAGAGTGGTTTGTTGAAAGAGGTGAGAATAATGTTGTTTAGGAAGAAGAACGTTTGTCAAAGAGGCAGAAATGTGGGTTTTTGGATTAAAAACAGGTATAGAATAGTTTAAACACATTTTAAACCCTCATTGGAGATAATTTGACACTTCCATCACACTCAGAAGGGTGGCCTTTAATCATGAGCTTTGAAGAGCTTTCTTTTAAATCTCTCTTACTTATGATCTCATTGTACTTGTTTGCAGAATAAACTGTGGTCATCTTTATGTCTTGTCTGTCAAGGTTTGTGCAAACTTATATTTCATTATTTTAGGTTTAGGCAAATAGTAATTTCAAAGAACATATTATCTTGCATGACCTATTTTGAAGAGTGACCAAAAGGTAATTGATTTCTATCCTCCACTAAAAAGATGAATTTTCCCTAGTTAAATATTAGATTTTCCGATATACTGCAGCAATAAAAAAAATATTCATTGAGTTTATCTTAAATTCTTTTTTAACTCTTCTACAACGTGGAATTCAACTGTTTTGAACTATATGGATAGAGTATATTTAGAAAGTGAGAAAAGGGAAGCTTCTGGGCACTTTGTACTGTCAACTTTTTTGTATTCAGTCATCGCATCCAGTGCTTTGCTCCTGTGACTTGTAATGGAGCCACAAGTCTGACCAAATAAGAGTGGACACGGAAAGTCAGTCATCTGCCCCCAGGCCATGACAGTCCACGCTCTGCCTCATTTATAAACCTCTTCCCACTCTGCAGAGCTGATGGCCAGGCCCCTGTGATGATTGCTGGGTTTTGGTCATTGGCGAGAGGATCTGATATCTCTCTGCTGTTATTTCCCTCGCAGCGCACCTATCCTGAGCCTGGAGGATGGGACGTCCTCTGGTGGAGGACAGGAAGTGAAGGGGATCAAGAGGGAGGGACCCAGCGAGTATGAAATCAATTTGGAAAACAAAAACAAACAGGTAGGCTTTGTTTCCAAGTGGTTCTTGGTTGGGTGGAATAAAAGCTACTGACACTACCTTGTTTAACTCACGCAGGTGCGTGAGGGAAGATTTCTTGACAAAAAAGATTTCCATTTAGATCTATTTCCGTCTCTGTTGACATGAAAAAGAACACCCAGGATACCGAGTGCCAGAGCGACAGGAACAGAGGAGAGGGAGATGCTAGGTTGTCATGGTAACTGCTAATAACTACTTGTGGTGGCTGAAGATGTCTTTATTCCTCATATTGAGCAACTGAAAGGTCCACTTGTGTTGCTGCAGTGCTCTGGTGCACGAATCCCCTTTCGGTCCGACCGGACGCACAGCAGCCACATGAGAGGCTGTCTTCTGTTTTTGTCTGTCCCCTGTCCCTCAGGTCATTACACTCTACGCTCTGGCTCTCATCCTCCTCCAAAATATTAGAGGGTGTAATCCTGAGAGATGATAAGATTTTTGGTTACAGCCTTCAACAAATAGGCTTATATTTCTTTTATGCATTAGCACCTGTGTCATGGTCCATTTATCTTTCCTCACATATTTTTATTAGCAGATGAATGATGATTGAATATTTTCCCTTTTCACCACAACATAGAGCCAACAGATAATTAGGAATACCACTAAGAAGTGGGTGAGTGTGTACTTCAAGATTCCTCTTGGCTCTTTTGATCTTTTTGCTCAAAAATGGCAGCATGTTTGACTGCTGCTGAATGATTAAAACATGTTCCAGTGGGTTTATCACTCTTGCAGTGTTTTTCAGTGACTCTCAGAGCAATTTAAAGGTGTTTGATGTGCTCACTCCCCCTCACTGCCTTCCTGTGCCTTCAGATAGAGGAGCTGGAGCAAAAATACGGAGGGCATCTGATTGCAAGGCGGGCAGCGCGCCGCATCCAGACTGCCTTCCGCCAGTATCAGCTAAGCAAGAACTTCCAGAAGATCCGCAACTCGCTTTCAGAGAGCAAGCTGCCTCGGCGGATATCGCTGCGCCACCCCAGCCCCTCATCCCGCAGCAGGAATGCGGCCCAGAGACACAGCTATACTCTGCATCCGGGAGGAGGACAGATACCGTTACGATCTAAAACTCCACCCCCACCGCCATGTCGTTCCACATCCCTTCCGCCGTCACCCGCCTCTGCCCCAGCACCTACCCCCTCATCAGCTCCAAGCCAGACTCCACCTCAGACAGCTGGACCTACACTCACACAGCTGGAAGACTGCTTCTCTGAACAGGTCAGTGTATTTAAAATGTCAGCCCTTGGAGTTACAGTCAAAATCTAATGAGTTGTTGAAATGTTAGAGAAATTTATGTTCACTAAGATGGAATTTCAGTAACTTGAAATGATAGAATAACAGTAATGTAATGCAGCATAAATTAAGGGGTGGGACCATCAAAACAAACAAACCTGTCTCCATAAAAGTTTGGTTTGTGCCTAAAATCTAATAAGAATGCAAATTATAACAAATGTAGCTATCTAATTAGATAAATGGCCATTTTTATTGTAAACTTTTTCCTAGATACTTGCTTACACACATCCAGGAGTTTGAATGTATTTCTCTTGCCTTTCAAATACTTCTATACACACTGGACACTTTTTTTGTAATGTTACATATGCCAGTTGTATTTCATTATAATTTCATACGATAGACTGACATTAAACTGCAGTGCCCCCTTTATTCTGTCCTGTTTACTCTGACATTTCTGAATTAAATCTATTGCCTATATTACCTTTAGAAATCACCTGATTAGTAAATGAGTGCCCATCTGTTCTGCTTCACTGTCCTCCAATCTGGCCTTTATGGAAGAGTGGCTTAAAAAATGAACACTTCACATAACCCTGAATAACCATCCCTACAGGGAAATTGTGATGGCAGCTTTGTACTTTGTGCACAATTTCTTTACTAAATGAGGGAGTGGTGATGGGAAGATGGGTGAAGCTAAATACAAGGAAAGCTTAAGCTGCAAACCCAAAAGCCCTTAATCTACTTTCAGATCAAAGCATATTTTGTGTTTAAATGATCCAGTTCAAGTCCAAGAGATTCAAGAGATAGATCCTTGAGAATATCTGAGAACAACAACTGAAAATAGATTATATGCATATTTCAGTTATTAAATGTGCAAAGCTGGTATAGAGTCATACCAAACAGAGATAAAACATGGTTGTGGCAGCATCATAACATGTTTTAGATAAGGTTACAGTTTGTTAGAGCTTTAGGAAAGTGGATAGAGTGGAAATATGAGGAATATCTTAGAAAGGCACAATGTTTGACACAGTCATTGTCTGATATGTTGGGAATAACAAATGGAAAGGTCGGCAACCTGGTGGATTAGATGCTGCATCATATTAAGCAAAGTTTTGGACACTCTATTATACATAATGAAGGACAGATAAGCTGCATGACACATTGTGCCCTTTTGGACAACATGTTAGGCTATGCACTTAGTGGTCTGAATACTTTTATAAAAAACACATTATTTGGTTATGCTTGCTTGGAACAAAAATGTATGAAACACTTTAGGCCTCACATTTGCTCTGGTTGTTCTGGCTGTTCTCTACAAACTTGTACTGGTTGTACTCTTCAGTCTCATTGCCCGGGGGCAGCAGACTTGGCAGAGAGGCCTAGAGAGGACAGACTTCTCTCTACCCAGACACCTCCAATTCTTCTGGTGGAAGCCAAAGCCATTTGGGGGTCAGCCAAGAGACACAGTCTAAGGGGCATGTCCTGGGCTATCCCTTTGGACTCCTCCCCTTGGGACTGGTCTGGAACACCTCTCAAATGGTTTCTTAGTTCTGGTAAAGATGCAGGTAGCAACATTTGGGATCAACAGCAGCTGACTGATCCACTTCTGGGCAGACCCGTGGAGACCCGTGGAGACCCGTGGAGACCCTGTGCCATAGATAATGGCACGGGGTCTTAGACTATCGATACGCCCAGATTTAAACCCTCATTCACCTTTTGCTTAAGTTTTGTTTTAATCCAGCTGGAGAACATTTTGGCTCATCCATGCATTGATTTCTTTCATGCATTTTCCTTCAAAGAATTTGAGTGCTGGGGAAATTAATAGATGAACTCATAGTGCAGTGGGATCTGTGGCACTGGTCTGGTCTTTTTCTGGACTTCGATAACATGACTGACAGAGGGCATCCTGAAATGCCCTGCGCTGCCTTCACTACCCATGCCAAGTCCTTCCTCTCCTGTGCCGTGCAGCTTCTGTTCTATGCGGTCTTGCTGAGACACATGATGCTTTCCATTGTGGGCCTCTAAAGGTTTGTTAGTGGCTGAGAGGAGAATACAGATCATTTTTAACTTGCAGAGAAATGAGAGCCAATGTTGAGCTTTCTTCACCAGGTGGGAGGTGTTCTCACTCCAGGAAATGTCAGAGAGGATGTGAATGCCCAAGAGTTTTATGCCAATCCATGAAACAGTATGCAGATCAAAACAGTTTTGTGATGAACGTTTATTTTTGCTCCAAAGTTTGTATGTGTTATCAAGCCACACTGATGCCTTCCTAATGTGCAATCTATGTGTTGAAATTTACCCTGAGCTACAGGATCTAAGCCTTCTAGGACTTACTTGTTTATATTTTTCTTTACCCTTTGTGGTCTGTACAGAAGAGTTCTAATGTTTACAGTTAAAACGAAACTAGACAGTGAATCAATTTGTAGTTTCAAAAGCCACTAATTACCCTTTTGTAGACCAGCAGCCATGGTTATGTCAGAGCACTTTCATTGCTGGAAATGTGCTCTGACATGTCTTACAGTACTCATTAATTATCAGCCAGAACTTATGAACTTTTCTGTTCAGACAGCCTTGCACTGACCTAATTTAGTTGCTGATTTAATTGAAGTTTTTGTGCATTATTTTATGTGCAGCTTCATTCCTTGGCTCAGTCCATCGATGACGCTCTTCGTGGATGGAGTTTGGCAGAGGGAGGAGAGGGGAAAGGACTTCTGATGGACCCCGGGGCCCTTCGTGCAGCCGCAGAAAGCGCCGGCCTTCCCCGCAGTGCGAGCTCCCTGCTCATGGCTTTCAGGGACGTAACTGTTCACATTGACAGCAACAGCTCCTACACCATCTCTTCCGCTACCACTACCACCACCACCTCTTTGGGAAATGCAAGCGGAGGACAGCCAGGCAGCAGGAAACCTTCTGTTAGTGGGACAGGGGGAGGAGGAGACGGGCAGTCCATGGAGGAACCTGAGTTTCCTGCACCCCCTCCCAGCGAGGAGCTGGAAATGGTCGATCCGGGATCCAGGCGGGGCTCGGCAGTGACAGCTGCAGTGGGGGTCGGAATGGAGGGAGAAAACAGCTCAGACAGACTGGAGTCCTCCACTTCCACCTCTACGTCCACCTCAATGTCCACCTCAGTCCAGTCTAATCAGCAGCCTGCTCAAATTTACACCCAGTACCAGCAGTATCACTACACTCATCCTCAGCAGGTCCCTGGGGGCTCGAGCCCTGAGGCCCTCCAGGCCCTGGTCGTGTCTTTGCCAAGGGACCGCTGCCAGGATCCAATCTCCTGCCGCTCCCCAACCCTGTCCACTGATACCCATCGCAAACGCCTCTACAGGATTGGACTCAACCTGTTCAATGTGTGAGTGGGCTGGCAGTTCTTATAAAGCTCTGTGACAAAATATAAACATGTTAAATATTTCTGCATCCGCTGGCAAAGACTTCAAAGCATTGATGTTTGTTTTGAATAAACTCCCAACAACCCTTTAAAATCGTTATATTGTTGCTTGTAATTGCCAGGGGGAGGTGTCTGTTTATTAGCATCTTGTGATTGTGTGATGCTCATAAAAAGGAATATCAGAAAAAGATGCAGAAAAAGAGAAGTTTAAAGTGCAGCAGAATAGTGGAGACAGTAGAGGAGGCCATTAACAATGTGAGAGTTGCTCAGGTTCTATAAATAGATTACACGGTTGGCCTTCATTTTATATTGGTTAATACAAATTAAAGTGAATGAGCCCAGTGACAGATGAGCTGATCCCAAAGTCTTTAGCCAACAGCTTTTCTGCATGAATGCATGCTTCTTTTAACAGTTTTAACAGGACACTCTCTAACACCCACACTCACACATATTAAGCACATTTACACATCTTCTGTCTCACCCCCCCCCCCCCCCCCCCCCCCCCCCCCACACACACACACACTTAAACATTTACATTTAAAAGTACGAAATTCAAACCTACAGTGCCAACTCTAACACTGCTGCTTCTCTGTGTTTCGCAATGCTAGGAACCCAGAGAGAGGCATCCACTTCCTGATCACACGTGGGTTCGTCCCAGACACGGCCATAGGAGTGGCACACTTTCTGCTGCAGAGGAAGGGACTCAGCCGACAGATGATTGGAGAATTCCTGGGCAACAGCAAGCTGCAGTTTAACAGAGATGTCCTGGAGTAAGTGCACTAAATAAATTTGAAGTTTCCGGCTCTGAGAGCAACATGCACCGGACCTTGCAAAAGCATTTAAACGCCAATACGCACAAATCTGAAAAGAGTGCTGTACTACTCTTATTTCACTAGATCAATGACATCTAGGTCCATAAAACTGTTAAGAACTGCTTTGTAAAGACCTCATTTGTATACAGAGAGTTTATAAAAAATGAACGTACAATACTCTGTGTATACAAAAGAACAATAAAGTTTGTCTAAGTCTACAGAGATAAAATAATAAATATTTCATCTATACACTGGAAGGGGGTAAAGACTAATACAAACATCATAATGTAGGAGCGTTCACCCAATAAGTTAATTTTAAAAAGCCCAAGAAATACATCAGACAGGTCATGAATAAAAGTAAGACTTCTAAACATTTGCTTTTAATACGAAGATCATCAACATCATCATCATTCTCAAAAGAATCTGAAATTGAAACTACAAAAGAAGTACATTAATCCACAACCTGAGGGTTAAGGAGCCAATAGGTTTTAGCCAAGGCTGACTGTTTAGGGGTTAAACAGTGATAAAGGAAGAGGAGCTCTAACAGTCAAACAAACAATTGATGACAGTTTTAAGTGGTGCATTGAACAAAACTAGCTTGTATTACTCATAAATTAGGTTGACAGAAATCACAAGAACTATCTTTTGCATGAGGCAATCAGCCATGAGAATAAGTTTTTAAAACGGTGCTGTAATTGTAAAACTTACACAGCATATCACTCTGAGCCCAATATCTGCAAAGTAAGACACGGTGGTAGTGGGGTTATGCTGATGAGATGTCTTCTTCAAAAGTGAAGTGAAAGCTACTCAGAGTTGAATTGAATATTGATGAACTTGAATACATTGCAGCCCTGGAAGAAAACTTGTTAAACGGAGGACTTGCAGATTTAATTGCTTATAATGGTATTTCTATTGACTTTGAGATCCCAAGTACAAATGCCCTTTAATTTTGATATAAAGAAACAGAAAGAACTTTACAGTGGTGGTATTTTGTCTTGTCTTTTATAAAACTGCCACAAAAATCCATCCATACAAATTTATGGGTCTACATCTTTTCCCCATTAATGAAATAAGAAAAAGTTCAGGGACTGTCAACAGTTTTTAGGTTCAACATAATCTCTCAAACTCAAGAATATGCAGGAGTTTAATGTGTATTAAGAGTTCAAATTTCAACTAAACTATGCCAATTACAATTGAACTACATGAAAATTTATGAGTTTAACATAGACACCATTTAAAGGGCCCTCACTCGCATTTTCTACAGATTACAGCTTCGGTTCATAGCTCCCTGGGAAAGGAGAATACTCCTCCATCCCTTAAAGAGTATTAGATTTATAACAAAGGTTTTAATAGATTTAGAACAATTTATGATAGGTTCTAACGTCACAAGGTAATTTTATAAACTTACTGGTAAGATGCTCTATTCTCTAGGCATGATATATGTTACTATTAGACTTTCAAAGCATAAGATGTGTAAGCTTTCAACCTAAAAGTTTTAGTTTTCAAAGAAATGTCTCACTGATCCTGTTACTACCCATATATATATAAATAAGTAATGTCATTGTAGTAAAAAAAGATTAATGTAACTGAAGGTACTGTAATATTGACAATTTCTTATAGAAATTATAAAGATAAGACTAAATTATATCTACAGTACTGTGCACCTCTCTGGTGAACCCCCCTAACAGCTGGGTTTATTTCCACCAGCTCCTTGCAACTGCAGCTTGATCTTATAAAGGTGTGTAAACCAATAAAAACAAGTAAGAAATGCACACTTTCAACCCCTGCCTTATTTGACCGTCGGAAGTACCTAAAAAAGATGCAAAATTTTAACAAAGGTTTAGTTAAAAAGTTGAGGTACATCCATGAATCTGCACAGTTTGGTCAGTAGAACACGAAAAAATGGTTTGCTTATGTAGTTTGCAAAATTGCAAATGCAAATCTCCTTGCACCTACTTTGAACATCTGCTGTGCATGCACAAACAATGTTTTTGGACACACAACCCTTCTCAGGATCAGATTCTGAGAACAGAGCAAAATCCAAAATGACAGAAGCAAGGTCCAAACAAAATACGTTGAAGGCTGTTAAGACTTTAGACTGGGCCAGGGCTTCAGCTAGTGTTGCGCCGATGCCATTTTTTGGCCCTGATACTGATACCTGATACCTGGCTGTGCAGTATTGGCCGATACCGATACCATACCGATACCATCTGTTTGAAATTGATGTGTGTGTCTATATATGAAGAACTGCATGCTATTTATTTATTATTATTATTATTATTTATTTAGATGTAAAACAATTGCCATCATGGCTTTGTCAAGATGCTGCCTACCTTTGTGAAGCAGGAAAAAGACTAATACAAAGTGAATCCAGTAGAACTTTTTATTGCCTACCTGGAATGGGTGAAAATAGTTGAATAAACTTTTGGCTCTCAAAATTGTATCGGTTCCCTATTTGTTGGTACTCGCTGATACCGATACCACCATTTCAGTGCAGTATCGGGGCCCTGCCTGATACTGGTATCGGTATCGTTGCAACACTGGCTTTAACAGGATAATAACCCCAGACACATGATTTAGATAAAAACACATTTATGTGTTCAAATGGTCCAGTAAAAATGCAGCCAATTGAGAATCAATGTTGAGTCTTTAAAGGTGATGTTCACTGGTACCTTACATCCATTCTGACTGATCTTAGGTTGTTATGTAAAAAACAACATTAATGAATGTATTACATTAATCATTTAGCAGCCCTTTTCTTGTCTGGTTGCTTTTGGAAAGGGTTGTGTGAATATATAACAAAATTTAAAAACTTTTTAAAGATTTTTTGCAACTTTTGCTGAACTATCATCTAACATCCAGATCAATATATCGAGTTAGGTGGGTGTAGCATGAAGATATTTGGAAATATGAATACTTTTGCTAGACCCAGCAATTAATAAAGCACATTTTAATGGGCAGAACAAACAGAAGGATGGGGATGAAATCAAAGGAGTCCACCATTTAAGTACATTTGGAGAGGGTGAACAAACCCAGATGTTTTTAAAATCACCTGGTGTTTTTAATAGATTGTTTTGACATTATGCTCTATCAAAGTCAAAGCTCCTCCATAATATTGGAAACAAAAGCAGATAAAATCCACCTGACCTTTCAGCCCATCTAAAGTTGTTTTGGCTTTCACATCACATCAAAGGCAAAGGAAGATTTTTATCTATTATCGTTTTCCTACTTCACTGGGTTTTAACTAGGAAGATAAAAGATTCATTGGGAGATTTTTTTTTTTATATTGGATTTTGATAGATTGTAATTTTGTGTCATTAACAGATCCACATGATAACAAAGCAGCCTCTGCTGAAATGCATCTGTGAATGAATGTATTTAACTACCCTTTCTGCTTCTAATCGATGCTCAGAGATTCAGGATGGAGGGGTGTTTAGATGAGGTTGTTGTAAAGATTGCAAAAATAGGTCACTGCTTCGAACACACTCATAAATACCCAGTCTCACTTTTCGTTCACTGACTTAAATAGACACATGTGATATGCACAAGCTCACAAATGTATATTTGGATTCTCTGCTATGTATTTCCATTAATGCCACTGCCTGGCTTCAGCCTTTCATGTTCTTCCTCTTTGTCCTCGCGCAGTTGGATTTCTTTATTTTTTCTCCTTTTGCTTATCTCCAACTGAGACCTGATACTTTCCTCTCTATTTCATACCTGTGTTCACATATGCCATATTCTTCTAGGTCAGAAAATGAAATATGACTTTAAAGAGAAAGAATTAGCATTAGCACAGACACTATTTGCTGCAAATACAGAGCATTTTATTTACTCACAACTACTGAACCTAGCTTCTTATTTATTTTTTCCTACCTGCCTCTTCTTCATAGCTGTGTAGTGGATGAGATGGATTTCTCAGGAATGGAACTTGACGAGGCCCTGAGAAAGTTTCAGGCTCATGTTCGAGTTCAAGGAGAAGCACAGAAGGTGGAGAGACTCATCGAAGCCTTCAGGTAAGAGCTGTCAGTCCCCTTCACTTTCAGTGCTTTTTAAATCAACCCAAAATCTAACAGATGAGTGAGTGAGTGAGTCAGCGAGTGAGCAAGTGAGTGAGCAAGTCAGCGAGTGAGCAAGTGAGTGAGCAAGTTAGCGAGTTAGTGACTAAGTGAATCAACGAATGAGTGAGTGAGCAAGTGAGTGAATGAGCGAGTTAATGAGTGACTTAGTGAATGAGTGTGCAAGTGAGCGAGAGAGCGAGTGAGTGAGTGATTGAGTTAGGCATTTTAAGGGGTTTCAATGAATCAACTTTGTGCCTGCAGCAGCATATGCAGAACAAGAAAACAGTGACAGATAATGCAGCGTGCATATTTTGCAATCTGCGTGCAGCCTTGAGGGTACCTTGAGTATTCTGAGTGACAAACTAATTGGCCAACTGTTCAGACTTACAAAGTACTTTACTAGTTCTGATGTCTCATTACAGCAAGCTCTGATGACACCAGAGCAGCTTATCATTAGCAAATTACAATGATTGCCTGTAACCTTTGGCTAAACTTGGCAATGTTTCCTGATTGTAAGCCAATCACAACGGAGACTGGCACTGCAGGCAATCAGTGTGTGTGCTCCACAGGACCAAAATAGATGCTCTGTTTTACCATCTTTCTCTCCACGATCACATTGCTGATAGATAGTTAAAGATTCTATATGTTCAATGATATTTTATTCCCTGTCTTGCAAGTATCTTTTGCTGGGATTTTTATCTTATAGACTAACATTTACATCCACTTCCACCTAGCTCAGTACTTTCTAGCACAGCCTTTGGCTGCACCTCTTTTGGGGTTTGTCTCAACAAACTCTTAGAGAGTGCTGTTTTCCTATTATTCCAGGCAAAGAAGCTCAGGCTTTAGTTTTGGACTTTGACTAAGACATTTAAACACATGAATATTACATGAATATGCTATTTGACTTCAGGCATTCGAGTTTAGATCTGGATGAAAATTCACGGCTGTAGGCTTCTTGAAAAACACGACCCTCCCTTGTTTCATGTGCTGTGCAGCCTTTCACTGAATTGACTTGTATTTATTTCCATCCACCTATACATAAAATCAGCATCTCATTTGTCTCTGCTTAGAGGAATTATCTTAATAGCCTACAGCACGGTGCTGCTACTTCCATTATGTACTATTGGCAAGGCTTTTTTTGACATGATGGCATGAGGATCTTGAGTGACCAGAGGATCTTAATTTAATATTTCTTTTACAAAGCTTGTGACACACGTTCAAATGTACCTCTTACAGTATGGCCTCCTGTCCAGAATGTCTTCTTGCCACTTTTCTATAAAGAACTTCTGTCATACAAACAGTTTGTTTGCAATTGTGGCATCACTTCATTTTGGGGTGACTTAAAAATGCACGGTAGGGTGGTAACAGCTGAAGATTCGGTTACACAATCTCACTATGTTTTAAACCTTTGCACAGCTCTGTTTCTGACCTCTCTGTGTGCTCCTGGTTCTTCCTGGTGCATTTTGTTCACTTATTTTCTCTGACAAACCTCTTAGATCTTCACCAAACAGTTGAAAGTACATTAAACCTACAATATGAGGATAACAAGCAATTGTAATATTTTAGTTGGTTTCCAACTTGAGTTGAATTCCCTCTTCCATCAACCGCCACTTTAAAGTAGTGCAGGTGTTTCATTGCTCCGATGATCCCAGGGTATATGTTGTATCCGTGGTGGCTGGTGAACTTTTCTCCAGGGGTGGCTATGAATTAAAATAGACGTATACCAAAAACCAATCAAACATATACTTAGTTATCACACCAGTATATTTATATGAATGCTAACAACAAAAAACATTATGAAAACACTTTATATAAAAAAAAAACATAATTTCATGCATAGGTTTACTTTTTAAACATAAATCTTGCCCTTCTGAGGTTTTGCGATGGTAAATCTGTGTTTTGCATGGACCAATATTATGTCGCAAACCTAAAAAAAAAAAAAAAATGTGCCAGTTTAATAATGGAGAAGTTATTGATCAGCTTTATACTTTTTTTTTAATATATAGACCATTTTCTGAGAATGTGTTTATTTATGAGCAACTAAGCAAATTAACAAACCTCTTGAAAAAGTACACGATATAATATTATTTTCCATGTGAATCCTAGATTGTTCATGCTTTTTTGCCTTTTCTCTTTTTCCCTGCTGGATCAGATACTGACATTTGAAAAAGGAGGCAGGGAAAGCAGAATAAAGCTTCATGCTGCTAGCCAAGCCTTCTTGCTAAACCAGGTCCTGAAAAAGGACATTTCTTGCACCATTTCTCTCTCTCTCAAATGCGTCTCCAACTCCCACGACTCGACCCGTCAATCACCAGCAAAACGTTTGAGCTGTGGTGGGAGGTGATGAGCAAATACACTTCCTGTCAGCTTAGGGCAGCTTTCCTATACCTTTGTATTGCAGAGGAGCTACTGCGCATGTACAACTTTTAAGAAGAGTCTATGGGCAAAACATTTTCAGCCCTAGGGCGGAAATACGCCACCAATCTGACAAAAAATGGAATGGACACATATTTATCTTACTCATCTAAAATATATATATACATATATTTTGAAATATTTTACAATTTGATTTTAAATTTAAGTATAAAAAAAATTTTTTTTTTTTTTATGTCTTAATCAGTCATTTGGTGTGGGGCGACGCCCTAGCGCCCTCTATTGGCCAGCCGCCACTGTGTTGAATCTTAAATGCCCTCTTCAGGACTTCCCACTGTCACTGTTCCTGTTCCTAAGCTTTATGGATGGATTTCTCATTTTATTCAAGGGTCAGAGGGTTCTAGTTTGGAGACAAGCAGATTTCCTCCCCTCACACATCGCGTTCACTGACACCAATACCTCTTTCCCACTGGGGAAAAAACTGTTTAAACGAGGGAAAAATCCTCTTTTAGATGTAGTGGGAACATCTCATCTCGATAAGCGACCTGGATTAAAATCCCCTTTCAATGGTTTGGCTCTGATCGACATACAGTGGGAACATAAGAGTGGGGTTGACCTGCTAATTTATGTGATACCATTGAGCACAGTGTATGAACATCAACACACCGTGCCAGTCTTGTCTGATCTAACAAGCCGAAACCACTCTGCTTGAATTGATAAACATCGCGCAGCACTGGTAAGAGGAATTCAGACACATAAAAGGGCACAAAAAATACGCTTACTAAGCCCTGGCTTCCTTATATGTTACTCTCCATTGTCAACTTTCAAGATTTCTGTCACACTTGTGACAGCATCAAAACTAACCCGGCTTGATGATGTCACCAGGCACCCAGCAGTATGGAGACAGGCCATACAGCTTGCCAGCGTGGATCAGAGCCAAATGCCTCTTGTTGGCGGGTTAACCCGTGTTTCAGTTTGAATGTGGCATAAGCAAGTTTGAAGAGTTTGGCAGTAACCCTGCCACACAAAACAACTACAAATGTGCAGATTGCTTTACTGAATGTCACCTACTCCTTTCCTTATTGGTTAGAAAGACGGAAGTTGATGCAACTAAGTTTCTAAGGCGGGGCAAAATTGACCAAAACTAAAAGTTCTTTAGTACTGCTTTAACTGACCTTCAAGTCTTCCTGTGATATCCAAAGATTGGCCTTGGGACTGAAGAAGCAATAGAAAGCTATTTTTTGCTTTCTGGCGTGCAGAGTAATATCTTATCCTTGCTGTAAACAAATAATGTGTCTCTGTTGATGTGCTGCTTTGCTCCCTTAGGAGTATGTCACCAGCTAGACATGACTTGACTCAATACTGCTTTGATCTCAGTAACTAAGAAGTCCTTTTCCATGACAGGCATATGATTGCCATCAGGAGCAGCCCTGTCCTTTAGTAGACTGCCTACACCTGCATGCCTCAAAGTTGTGGTGTCCTTGTTTGCCTTTTCCTCCATATTAACATATTTTTTGTGTGTTTGATTTTCTTTCTCCTACAGATCTTAATATTTATGAGTCATTCATACCCTCTCTATGTGTCTCATAATTAGTGAGTATTTGCTCATGCAATGACAGCACTTGCATGAGTTAACGTATGTAATTTTCACCAAGTCACCAAGTTAGTTTGTTCAGCCAATTATCACATAATAAAAACAACAGATGGAAGAGCAGCTGGTAGATGTCATCAGTTTTGCAGACATTCACATAAGTAAAAAAAAAAAAAAAAAAAGAAAAAAATCCTATGCTGCAGTTTTATTTGGCTCCCGCATTCCAGTGTCTACTCAACCTTTTCCATTTTATAGGTCAATTGAGGTGTTGGTTAAGGCTGCTTTATACTCAGAAACCAGGTAATCTGCATATGTGTCGCAGTTAACACACACACTCTGGTGCACCTCTCCAAACAGGAGGCCTCTAATTGGTCAAATCTAAATTCGCTCTAGACTGTGCGTATTTCCTGTTTGGTACCTTATCGGCTTGTTTTGTTTGTATGACCGCCATTGTGGAAAACAACTTGTGAAGATGGACCAGCAAGAAGTGTGAGGTGCGCAAGAACGCTGGGACCCTTTTTCCACCTTGATCCCCGCTCTTTCTCGCCCTCATGACCCTCCGTTGTCTCACAAATGTGCCCCTTGCGTTTTCTGCTTCCTCACCGCCTCGGCCGTATCTACACCTACAGCTAGTTTGTGACTGTCCCTCTTGTGTTGTGGCGTTGAATAACATAGCGCAGACCATGCTTCAAAATTGGGCATAAATCAAAAATATCCCTGTCATACCTGCGACAAGCTAACTGCGACACACTGGTGCGGGATTATACACAGCCCTTAAGCAAACTTTGCTCTTCGTGAAGATAAAATTGACCTCCCTGTTAAATGATGAATTCTCTGTGATCAATCTTTGTAGTACAATTTGAATAGACACATCAAGGCCTGATTACTATTAGAATTTACTTTAATAAAACCTATCTGACAAAATCAGTTACACCAAAATATGTCAAGCACCAACACATCCTTCAATGATCTACAGACCTTCAAGAAGAGA